TTTTGATAACCCACCAAAGATTTCTGTTTTTTAAATCTTTGAATCCGCATTTCGATTTTAAATTTATCTCATGTATTGCTGATGCATACTTTTATTGAATTCATAGTCATTTTCTCCAATAATGGTAGAATTATTGAAATTCAAAAAAATTTCAAAATTGAAATGTTGTTTTTTTTACAAACTGACAAAATGTATAAATTATAATGTCAATAATTTTTTCATTTTACACAATTTTTATTCCAATATGTGATAATAATGGAGAGATGAAAAGCAGCAGACGTTAGTGTAATTACTGAATTGATGGTTATTATCATTACTAATAATGTCATAATAGGACCAAAAACCAATAAGATATTCAGATAAATGCATAGAAAACCAATATCGACATCCCGGAATTTTTGAAGTTTATCTTGCCTATCTTACTTCAATGCGATGACATGACTGACTGCGAAAGTCTATTCAGCGATTTTTTTGTCTATTTCATATGTATAGATAGACGTAATGCAATGGGAAGTACATTACCGCCATTTTCCCACGCCAATTTTTATAGGGATGATACGTATTTGTAAGGAAGATAGTCAGAGAAATTTTGAAGTGGAAATCTGTAACCCTTCTTAAGATATAATAATAGAATAGGTATATTATTTAATATGTGTGATTACTTTTGATGCTATAAGTCCGCATCCACGCTAAATTTTAGAATTTTATCTAGCCTATGTTACTTTTATCGGATAGCGTGCATTTATCTCCAATCGTACCGCGCTCATTTTTGAATGGATGATGTGTATATATGCCTACGTTATTCAGACAGATTTTGAAGACGGTATCTGTAACCGTTCTTAAGATATATCCATATTACATGTTCAGAAATTTTGAGGTATGATCACTATTGATCCACGCGGAATTTTTAACTCTATCTAGCCTATGTTACTTTCAGGGCATGTCATGACATTCTGTGTAAATCTCATTAATATCTGTTCAGCGGTTTTTGCGTCTATCGGTAACATACAAACAAACAAATTTTTTTCTCTTTTATATATATAGATATTCATTTTTAATAAATAAAAAGACCGTCAGAGTCTAAATTTGAAGTTGAAATTTATTTAAAGTGTTTTAATTTGCAGTCAACAAAACGTAAGTATCGTAAGAATACTCGCTTTGTTGTTGTAGTTGCAAATTTCTATTGTTGTCCGTCTTGTTCAACAATAATCTTAGATTCTAAAACTACTCAGTACAATAAAAATCACTACAAGTCCTTTCGACTGTATCGGAACTTGTACGGAGGGTATAAAATTCTATTAGAAATTCCCAACCCTTTACCGTGTTGACTTCTTTCCAATATCTCCGTTGTAACCAAGTTTATGTGCTTGATTTGCTCTAAAGCTTTATCTTGGTGATACTGCCTTGATGAAAACATATATATAAATTCATGGTCCTTTCAATATACAACACGTTAGTTTATAGTCACACTTTTACACCGTAAAACGGTAAAGCGATGATGCAATTTGGGCCAAATGAAATACTTAACAAGTGAAAAAGCGTTAAGTACTGACAGGTACTTGAAATAAAAATATATGGAACATACCAAAAAGTGTACCGACATTTCTACAAACCGATTTTGTTGGACCAAATTTGTTTCAACAATTGTTGATTTGTTCCAAAAACTTTGCTCATCTTATTATTTCATCCAAAATTTTTTCAAGTTGGAACATGGGGAATATCTGTCTTTCTGGTACCTCCCACACAGGGGTTAGGCGTAAATACGTGTAACAGTTCATATATATGAATAGTATGGAGGGTATAATAATTTTGTCTTTCCGTTTGTAACTCATCGAAATATTCATATAAAAAGTATATATATTCTTGAACAGGGTAAAATTCTAAGACAATCTAGCTAAATCCGTCCATCTGTACGTCCATCCGTCTGTTGTAATCTCGCTTCTGAAGGAATTGAGATAGATCGCCATAATTATGCATAAAATCGTCTTTTGTCTGCAGGCAGGTCAAGTTCGAAGATGGGCTATATAGGTCCACGTTTAGGCATAGCCCCATATAAATGCACCGCCCAATTTTCGATATTTTGGGGTTCTTGACCACTACAAATTATAAATATCGGTCCACTTTTCTGGTAGCCCTCATATAAGGGTACCCCAAATGTATGGTATTTTGGGCGTTTTAAGCGCGTTTTTAACCGAATTCGCTAAAATTAGGTACAATGGGTTCTTATTGGGTACCAAATTTAAAAATTATTGGATTAGAATATATATCGTAATCTATCATGCCGGAAGAATATAAATAATGCATGAACAGAAGATAGCATGTTTTATCGAAGAACTTCTTTGAAATGAAATCAATATGTGTAGGAATAAGATAAGTAACACCGGAATCATATGTTTTAAAAAAAACGTCAAACTCTAGAAGACGGTTAATTGTATATATGTATAATGTATGGTTAGTTTTCTGAATTTTAGGATGTTAGAATGAAACTCGGATAGAATTCGTAAAATTTTGGAAAATATTTACATAATTTATTTGTATTTTTATACCCTCCACCATAGTATGGAGGGTATATTAATTTTGTCATTCCGTTTGTAACTCATCGAAATATTCATTTCCGACCCTATAAAGAATATATATTCTTGATCAGGGTAAAAATCTAAGACGATTTAGCCCTGTCCGTCCGTCTGTTGTAATCACGCTATCCTTTGAAGGAATTGAGATAGGGTGCTGAAATTTTGCGTAGGGTTGTCTTTTGTCTGCAGGCAGGTCAAGTTCGAGGGTGGGATATATTGGTCCACGTTTAGGTATAGCTCCCATATAACAGTACCTCCCAATTCTCGGTATTTTGGGGTCTTGAGCGCGTTTTTCAACCGAATACGCTGAAATTTGGTACATTGGGTCCTTATTGGGTAGTAAATGTATCCACAAAAAATTATAAATACAGGCCCACTTTTTCGTGTTGCCCCCATATAACGGTACCTCCTAATTTTCAGTATTTTGGGGGTTTGATCGTATTTTTCCACCGAATTGGCTGTAATTTAGTATTTTGAGTTCTTAGTAGGTACCAAATCTATCCACAAAAAATTTAAATATAGGTCAATTTTTTCGGATATGCCCCATATAAGGGTACCGCCCAATTTTCTGTATTTTGGGGTTCTTGAGCGCGCTTTTCAACAGAATTCGCTGCAATTTGGTACACTGGGTTCATATTGGGTACCAAATATCTCTACTAAAAATTATAAATATTGGCCCACTTTTTCTGGTAGCACCCATATAACAGCACCCCATTTGGTATTTTGAAGTTCTTGAGCGCGATTTTCAACCGAATTCGCTGAAATTTGGTACATTGGGTTCTTATTGGGTACCAAATATCTCTATTAAAAATTATAAATATCGGTCCAGTTTTTCATTTCAAATACCTGTCGGTATACCTGTGGGGTACCTGGAGGGTATCCAAAGTTCGGACTGGCCGAACTTAACGCTTTTTCACTTGTTTCTTTTATTGAAGTATGGGAATTAAGGGATGTAAAAAAGAAATAAAAAATTTAAAACGGAGAAAGGGATTTTTATTACGGATTGTTTAAAAGAATTGAAAATATAATATGAAGGGAAGGAACATAATAAGGAATTTGAAAATAATAGGATATAAAACCATTTGAAGTAAGGAACGAAACAATATAATGTTTATTTATCACAACAGGCACCCTACCGTGATAAATAAACATTATATGGGTACAATGATCTCACCTACTGCGGTAACAAAGAAATGAACAGAAAATATTTGTTAGTAGCTGTTGTTGTTTGATATGCTTGGAACGCAAACTACAAATGCAGCAGTAAAGAATTTTTTTATTATTATTGTTATATCATTCTAACAACAATATCTACACTAGTAGATATAAATGAGAACTTTCAAGAAATAATTCCCGCGACTGTATTTCAAAAGAAAATTTGAAATAAAAACGCGGTAGCGATCTAGAGTAACAATGTCGACTATTGCGATTTTGAATAAATGTTGTATATGTTGTATATAGTTGAAACACTACACGTATGAGAACTTCCTTTTTTATGAATGATGCTTCAATGGAAATCGAAAATATATTCTTGGAAAATTTACAAATAGCGTATTGTAATATAAAAATGAAAATCCGGAAAAAATCAAAAATATACAGAAATAAGTTAGTTTTGACGTTTTTCTTACATGGAAAGTGGCACCGTAAAAACCATCGAAGGATGTATAGATTATGTATACGAAATCAACAACTTTTAGGAAATAAGGAAAGTATGTTGTTTATAAAGGCATCTTAATATATATTATAGCGACACCCAGCGGCTGTAGGATTTACTATAAATACATATAAAAACGAAGGAAGTTGACAACCCCCACTTACGTATATTTATAATACATATATATAATATACATATGTATATATATCTATATATATAAAATAGAAAGAAATTTGTTTGTTTGTTTATTTGAATGTTACCGATAGACGCAAAAACCGCTGAACAGATAATAATGAGATTTACACAGAATGTAATGACATGCCCTGATTTCTGAACATGTAATATGGATATATCTTAAGAACGGTTACAGGTACCGTCTTCAAAATCTGTCTGAATAACGTAGGCGTATATACACATCATCCATTCAAAAATGAGCGCGGTACGATTGGAGATAAATGCACTCCCCGTTGTACTTAAATAATCTACACATAGAGAATAAAAAAGTTTTGTTTGAATAGTCAAAATCCGCTAAACAGATGTTACTGAGATTTTTACAGTACCTCATGCTATCCGATAAAAGTAACATAGGCTAGATAAAATTCTAAAATTTAGCGTGGATGCGGACTTATAGCATCAAAAGTAATCACACATATTAAATAATATACCTATTCTATTATTATATCTTAAGAAGGGTTACAGATTTCCACTTCAAAATTTCTCTTACTATCTTCCTTACAAATACGTATCATCCCTATAAAAATTGGCGTGGGAAAATGGCGGTAATGTACTCCCCATTGCATTACATCTATCTATACATATGAAATAGACAAAAAAATCGCTGAATAGACTTTCGCAGTCAGTCATCGCATTGAATAAGATAGGCAAGATAAACTTCAAAAATTCCGGGATGTCCATAGCATCAAGAGTTGCCATAACTCTAAACTAATATTGGTTTTCTATGCATTTGTCTGAATTATATTGATCAGATAATTACAGATCCAATCTTAAACGACCAGGAAGTTAGCAAATTGGTCCAAATCAAGAACATTCGACTCATACTTTTTGGTCCTATTATGACATTATGAGTAATGATAATAACCACCAATTCAGTAATTACACTAAAGTCTGCTGCTTTTCATCTCTCCATTATCATCACATATTGGAATAAAAATTGTGTAAAATGAAAAAATTATTGACATTATAATTTTTACATTTTGTCTGTTTGTAAAAAAAAAATATTTCAATTTTGAAATTTTTTTGAATTTCAATAATTCTACCATTATTGGAGAAAATGGCTATGAATTCAATAAAAGTATGCATCAACAATACATGAGATAAATCTAAAATCGAAATGCGGATTCAATGTTTTAAAAAACAGAAATCTTTGGTGGGTTATCAAAATGTGTCCATTACCAGAAATTAAGTTTAGTTGAACAAACGGATATGGCTGTATAGATGAAACGACTAACTAATTTGATCTAGATTTCTTAAAAATACTAAGATATATACAGCTAAGACCAATAATCCATTTAGGTTCGGTAATGCATTCTTTTAAAAACCTTTTTAGACAATGAAACAATTAAAGATACAAAATCCAAACTTAACTAGGATTATACATCAGGGATCCATGCTATATTATTCAGACAGAGAAATGCATGCCAACCATATTGGAAACAGCTGAGAATACAGATATAATGGTTGGTGGAAATGAAGGATTGTATTAGTTTTTGAACGATTAATGAACAACATGTGAATATTGAAGAAAATATATTTGTGTGTGCTACTATTACAACTGATTAAGACACGTCAAGCCAAATTTGTTTTCAATATTACCACAATATTTTAATCTATTGAATCGAATCAAATATTCTAATACATTAGCCTGCTGCTACCTTATTATTACTGATATTACACTACGAAATGTCTAAAGTCGAACAGTTATGTTTGAATTTGGGGCTACTCTAATACCTATATATTTCCTATCAATACATATGTAACCATTTTCAACCCAATGTTGCAGTAAGTTTGGCGGAAGGGTCAAATAGCACAAAATAGTAGCTTTTAAACTAAATAATATGTCAATCACTTTAGTAGGGGCAGCGAAGCGCCACGGGTTCGGCTAGTATATATATATATATATATATACGTAAGTGGGGATTGTCAACGTCCTTCGTCTTTATGTGTATCAATTTAATAATAATGCAAGAGAGGAGCAAAGTTCTAACATAATGAGAACGAAGTAAGCTAAAACAAAACCAATGATAATTTGGATAGAAAGGGATGGAGATGGGGACAACTTGAACGCATCTTAGCTTTATTTTATTTTGATGAATGATAATGAGATTATGGAGAACAAAAAACAACTTGTTGCAACTGACCTTTGTTGTGTTTTTTTTATTTTTTATGTTCATGCCTTAAGTTCTTTCACCTAAGAATGTTGTTTCGAAGAGGCCTCTGTGTTTCAACTCTTGGTGGTATTTTTTTCTTTTGCTATATGTAATCTTTAATTAATTATAATAATGTGTTTCGCGACAGAAAAGAAAAAAATGAACTATGTCACATTTGTATCACATTTACAGATTTGTTGTTTTTCTTAGATTATGACTACGACTACTTCTTCACTTATTTTGTTTTCTGATATTAATATTTACATATTACTTCTGTTTGAAAAGATGTGTATTATTATTGCATATGTTGTTTTTAAAATGCGTAATATACCCACAGTTTTATCCTTTTTCGATTTTCTTATGGACTGCTATACTTTTAACTTTTTTTCCTTAGAAGTCATTACGAGGCACGTGAAGTATTACTGGTTCTTGTTTAGCATATTCGAACATACTAATGGTGATGTGCAGAGGGTAGTGGGAAAGACCGGTACGTCGGTTAAAAAAAGCTAGTAAGTCAACCCTCACCGGAATGTGTACCAGGAATGTTGCTCACGCCGTTTAATTGGATTAATAAGATTTTGTAGCAAACATTAAGGGTGAACAATTTCGTATAAAGATGAACATTTATTTGCATCGAAAATATATTCATTGTAATCCTAATCTGCGCCTACTCTACAGAGCAATTATATATGGCAATTATTATAAGAAAATCGTATAAATTTCGAAAAGTGCAAATACGTAATTTCAGTTTTCCAAACATAATATTAAGTATTTGTTTTGTTTTGAATGGAACTCATCACGACATTTTAAATGGGTTAGTGTATATGCCATGCAATGCAGATCGTTCCCAATATAATGAATGCTTATTTGCGCTGTAAAATTTTTCTCAAAATTACTATGGTGTTATAATAGGTGGAGATTTCAATTCCAGACATTCGTCCTGGAGAGATACATTAGATAACTTCAATAGATGGCTTGAGCAATCTCAGCAGATTTCACATGAATTTGTGATTCAGTACCCTCATTTCCGAATACAGCTTCATTTTTTGATCATTATAATTCAGACCACTTCCCTTTTAAATTCTCAAATCACATAATCATCATTATCGATTTTGTTAAACTCTCCCATATGCTACACTTCTTATAAAGTACAAATTGGAATAATTTTATTAATGATATAAAAGGAGATTTGCTTATTAATTTCCCAGATTTAAAAAATAATCTTTCTGTATAATCAAATTTATTGATGCGATAAATAAAGCCCACTCCGTACAATCGGAAAATTTACGTTTAGGATGGAAATTACAGTTTCAGTTGAAATTAAACACCTTTACTTAGCTGGTTTGTGACAGAACATTTGTTCCATAAGCCGAGCATAAAAAAGATTTCCAGACACGTCGGTCTTTTGTGCAGTTTTTCCAATTTGAAAGACCATTTTCGGTAATGTTGATCTCCACTTCATTTTTCCATCTGATACGTGGCCTTTCCATTATTTGTGAACCATCATATGGTTCGCTTTTACGTGCCTCTTAAGCTGGGACATCTTCATCGATGCTCGCAACATGGCCTAGCCAACGTAGTCACTGCAGCTCGATACGTCTATGTCGATGTCCGAGAATAGATCATGGTTCATTCAATGATGATATTCACCGTCGACGCAGATCGGCTCATAGATCTTCCGGATAATTTTTCTCTCAAACACTCCAAGAGCTGCCTCAACCATACAACAGCACGGGTAGTATCCAAGAGCTGCCTCAACCACACAACAGCACGGGTATTATCAGCATCTTGTAGAGTGTGATTTCTTAAATTTCTTACATGTTGGCCAACACTATTCTCCTCCGCCCTTGTACCAGCTAAAGTTATCCTGTATAGCTGTATTAATTTTGCAGGAATGCGGAACGCAGACATGGCTTTAAACATCTCTGAACGTATAGGGATGTCGAATTCGGCTTTATAGTCGACGAATAGGTGGAATGTGTCGAAGTGTTTGTCGTGGGTCTTTTCAAGGATCTGAGGCAGAGTGAAAATCTGGTCCAACCAGGTGGACCAGACCAGACCGGGAGCAAGGAATTTTAGCAAATATTATGAACTTATGTTAAATTATGGCGCTAAATACAAATTTGGTTGTAAATTTTGACAATATGTTATAGTCTGAAGTATTACTTAATATTATTCACACTATTTATTATTATAATGTTTTGGAAATAAAGCTCAATAAATTAAACAATTTTTTTCATGAAACGGATAATTCAGTCTTCATATGTATTTTAGGAATTATTACAAACATAAAAATGGAATGGCTATCCATTATTATTCGTTAAAATCTACATTTTGACTTTGACATTTAACAATTATTTTTTATTCCGACCCGTTTTAGAACAATATTATTAGAATATTAATAACAATAAAATATTATGCGTTTTATTGCAGACCGAATACATGTTTAAGTCGCTTAAGGCATATCTAAAAAGAGCGCCATCGCTTAAAGGAGCAGCATTAGTGAAATTATCTGCTTTAAGAGTTCAGTCGGATTTATGGAGTGGCTTCACAAATATCTCTCTGTTAACATCAAGACTTCAATCTGTTGAAATATCATCTGATAATTGGATCGAAAATGTGCTTAACATATATAAACGAAAGTTTATCACTCCACTGCAGACACAGTATAATTCGGAACCGCATCAAACGTAAGTGTGTCATTCAATTTCATACATGACTGCTAAATTGTATACATTTGTTTTCAGGTGGGCTTATCCGACAGTTTCAAAAACATTTTATGACACTCTAAGTCATTCCATAGGTATGTAAATGCACAAACGGTTGTTTTTTCATTTTCACAAAAGTTTTTTATAGAAAGGAATTAACTTTATATGAATTGATTTTGATTATTAAAAAAGTGATTAGTTACCAGAATAAGAAACAGAATGTCAAGCGACCCGTTCAAAGTATTGTTAGTTTTAAGGGGACCTCCCCCATTCTCGATTTTAAATTTTCAAGATTTTCATTGGGCTGGTAAATGAATACTAATGCATCTTAAGTTTTCTAACTTTACACATATATTATTGTTTTTTTTTTTTTTTTTTTTTGATGATTAAAACAAAAAATCCTTATTTTTGATGGCGGGTATGATAACTCCTCACTGGAACATCGGGATCCGAAAATTCCAAGGGTTTTAGAGTACATGTCAGGCTCTCGTAGGAGCCTGACTTCCCTCAAACATTAACTAAATGGCGGACCTTTGATTTTTTTATTGGAAAATTTGCCTACTTTTGACCACAAACTAAGTTAAGAAATAACGAAGAAACGTGCCAAAATTTGGAACCGATTGGATTATTAGTTTTTAAAATGTCGTGCCCGGTATTGGTATTTTGTAGTCGCATATGGTAAAAAATCTTCCTACTAATATACCCCCTTCTTATATTAAAATAGTTAGCTTATTAGTTCTGTGTGTAGGGGTTGCCCCATATAGGGGTATTCCTCTATTTCGATACTCGAAATAGTCAGTTTTACCCTACAAATTATTGAATACTAGGACGATTTAGCCATCGGTTGTAATCATTCCGCTTTCTAAGGAAATCGTGATAAAACTCGAACCTGACGATAATGAAATAAATAATTATACCTTCTGAAGAAAGAATTGAGACACAGAGCAAAAATATTGGGTTCGAAATTGACATATGTCGGTCATTAATTAGACATAGCCCTCATATAATAATAACCCCAAATATTCGCTAATTCCTACACTATGTAATCTAACTTTGTTATCTTAATTGCAGTAGTTTGAGGATTCTACATTCTACCATGCATTATTAGTATCAGTCCACGCTTTGAAGTTGTCAGTAAAAATTGCTGAAATTTGTATTTGACGTACATAATGGTTTACATAAACCGGTTTGTAGAATTGTCGGTATAGGTCCACTTTTTGGTATGTTTCCTATATTTTCAAGCGTCTGTCAGTATACCTATGGTGGAGGGTATCCAAAGTTCGGCCCGGCCGAACTTAACGCAACAGTCCAACAGTGAGAGTTGGGGAGGAAAATAAGTTGTTGGTAGGTTTGTGTATTATAAACAGACGCTAAAAAGCTGGTTGGAATATTATAAAATTGTTGTTGCGAATATTACACGACAAACAAACTAACGACCACGATCAAGCAGAGAGTGTTGGGGAGGTAAATAAATTGTTGGTATGTTTAAATACAATAATAAAAGGCAGAATATTATTATGTTTGTTCTTGGTAGTGTGGAAAAATAAAACGCGAATTATTCTCTCAACGAAAGAATTGTGTGGGGAATTATTGTAATAAGAAAGCACACAATATCGGCAATGTGGTAATGAAAACCATTTTTTTGCGCCAATTTAAATGATTGTAATTGAATAAAATCATCTGCTTATTTCGCGAGGATATGGAAATAATGCAAATAAAATTCGTAATAAATTATTGAAAGGTTATGTTTTTTGACGAAATATTTTTTTTTTATTTTAGTGAACTGTAATCGATTGTTTTGAAAAGTAGGGTGACGTTACGGCAACTAGTACGCGGAGAAAATTGAGAACACTTTTTTCTTTCTTTTTTCATAAAATAACGAAATCTCACACAAACAAAATGCACTGAACTTGTGTACCTTGCTTTTTGAGGATTTGAAGTGATGAGATGATGGATAAAAGATGATTTTTTCGAGGGTATGTGTTGTTGGCGATATTTCTTTGGGGAGGAAAAAAGCACAATTAATGACCAGGCAATCTTCTAAATGCGACCAAATGTTAAGAAGGTCACGAGTGTTGAGTAAATGGAGACAGACAACAACTTCGCAAGTTTCTATCCGGCTCGAAATATCAAATGTTTATGTAGAGTCATTAGGGGGAAGATTATAAATAAAATATGGCATAATAAATTGGCAATATTGCCCATATACAGTATGCTAAATTCATACTTGTATTAGTGGGTATACATGGCATGACGTAAGGTAGTCTCATTTAAGAAATTAATAAAGGTATATATTGTTTGTTTACCTGAAGCGGTATATAGTTGTAGTGTGACGTTTTTTCGAACACCAATTACCGCAGTACCATTATTCAATGATTTAATGAACAGTTAAGAAATTACCACAAATATTACTTACACTGATATCAGTAAGTCTCTTGAAAAGGGGCAATATTGCCCCCTTTTAAGGTTACCTCCCGACGTAAACTTTCAAAACGCCAATATTTTTGGCCCAAAAAACATGCGAATTTTTGGATCATTTAAAAAAATAGGAATTTGATGCACAGCATAATTTACCCAATATACGACACCAGCATTTCTCTCTATATTCTCCGGCAACAATTTGTGTTTTATTGACGATTGTTATATGATGATTGATATTTTTTTCATTCAATTACATAACAATATTTGAGCCAAAATGTGTCAAATATTGTGGTGAAATCTGAAAACAAAAATAAAAAATACAATAATATAAAATATTTGCCTACTTAACCGTAGCTTTAAAAGTAATATAACTCATAATAACTAATTAAGTTACCAATAATATAGAATACTTTAATGAATTATTATAAATTTGTAATAACATAATATCTTTCAGTGATACCACTATCTGTAATTCTAAGACCCTATTTTGCTGAGCAGTTACCACCATATCTTCAATACGCCTCTGTTGGAGTCGTTATAGCAAAAGAAATTCTTCGCTCTATAACAAAATCCTTTGAAGAAAAGGCTATGCGCTGCGTGCCTAAATCCGTCAATATATTCTCCAACTATAGTCGGATGGACATTTTAATACATTCAGGTGGAATGCAAATTTCTTATCATTCTATGCTATCACTAACAGGACCAACAAAAGGGATGCCTCGATTACCTGGATTAAATTTAACACCAACACAGGTTTTCTTTCTGGTCTCTGCACAGGAGCTGTGTGCAGAGTCACAGTATGCAGGAATTGACACGGATGCCGCTGATTTCGAAAATATGTAAGAATATTCATAATTATTATTATTTGGTCTGTTTCCGTACTGCAAGAATCTACTAGATTTGACCATTTTCTTCGATATCATAAAGGAAAATTCGTTATCGTAGTAAAAACTAGTAGATTCTTGCAGTACGGACCAATTACTTTTTGCACGATTTTTTAAAGTTTTTATATTAAACAGAAAAATATGATTACTTTAGAAAAATCTATTGATTTTATCCTTTGTGTTTGAAAACTTTTTGAGTTCCATAGTAGTAATTTCAGTGTTGTAATAGTAAAGCGTATACAGATACTCTATCAAGCTCGCGGAAAAAAATAATGACAAAGATTATGAAAAATACACAAACAAAATCGACGAGCTTTTCGATTTGCAACAGAAAAACAACTGCCGCTTTATAACGTTGTTCGCTCGTTTTTCGTATATTAGTCTCGGCGGTGTAATAGTGATCAGTGAAAAAGAAAAAACTTTTAAAAAGTTTCATATTCTTCGCTGGTTAACAATATACAATTGTGTTTACCTACATACAGTGGTTAACATACATATGTTGGTTATCACCATACATAATTATATTTTCATACTTACGCTGGTTGACACGCGTAGGTTGACTGTCAGCCACACACACGCTGTACACACATATCATTGGTTAACCAGCCGTCGCTTGCCTTGTTGAGCTTTTTTTTTGTTAGGTGCTACGCACATTGCACTATAGGTCAAACTGGCAATTTTTGTGGCCAAAAGTCATAAAATTGAAAAAAAAAATTATTGTATTTCAACCAGAATAGCTTTCTTAACCTTCAAAAAGAATAATGGAACATTTTTTTTTGAAATTAACCCTTTATGTTATTAATGTATTAACCCTTTGGGGAGAAAAATAATTTAATTCATATATTTCATAACATTTTATTTAGAATTTTGACATTTCAAGCTTTAACGTTTTCGCTGCAGCATGCGTTTTATTATGCTAATTGATGATGTTAAAGAATCGAATGTATCCAAGGCTCTAGTAAATGTATCTAAGATGTTATTCATCCGGCTGCTCTTACGAGCGTGATGTAACCTGTCGGGCTTATACAATTTATACCTAGCTTCAGCAGCATCTTTTCCAAGAACCTCTAATGGAAGTACACAATTTTCCATTATCTGCGTCGAATGAATTTGTACCTCGTGGACAGTACCTTGTACTTTGTCCATGACAACCAGAAATATTTCGTCAATATTAAATTAGCTGTTTCATAACAATAAGTTCGAAATACGTTTAAATCTAATTAAAACTGACATAATAATGAAATTAAAATAATTTTGAGGCGGAATATACGATTTAGCTTTACTCCTGTTATTTCAGATTCAAATTAATCAGTATTTCGGTAAATGGTTTAACATGCAATAATGGTAATAACTAAAAAAACCGCACAAATCCGCAAAACCAAATTAGGTTATTTAGATTAAGGACGGTTTAATAAACAAATATCAATTTTTATTTTAACTGCCAAACGTTGCCCACGGATTTAATGCATTCATAACCTCGATGTTTAAAAATTTCTGCGATCAATCTAAAGTTACGGTTGCTTTAATACTATTTCTACACATACACATATGTATGGATACATTTTATGATAAAAAAATATCGAATAATTTCTTATTAATTATTTACTTATAGTTATACTTATATTTTATTTCCACTTTAAATCTTAACAAGTAACATACCAAATTAATACATTTTTTATGGTATTTTAATAATTCACGTTTGACAGCTTGCCATGTAACGGTATAAGTGATTATGCAAAAACAAAATTCATTTTTATTTGTTTTGAAGTGTTCCTTACTCGATTGAAACTCAAAATAAGTGATAGGACAATGTCTGAAATTCGACTTTTGACCAGTAAAATGGTCTGTTTGACCTATAGTGGCATTGGGTCGGTTGATTGTTACAAAGCTGAAATATTTGAATAAATAAATTACTGGTGTGTGTGTATGATTTTTGGATATATATAGTGGTGTTAATAAAAATTTATTACTTTTGGAAATTTACTGATCTTTTATAATAGAATTAATTTAAAATTTTACATATATTGATAAAATGATTGAAATAAAATGTTGTTGAAAACTAGTATATTTTTCATGTAATTTTTTGGCTACAATTTTGATAAATTCGTTCGATTTTGGGATTTTTTCAAAAATTACTGTTTTGTTTTTTAGTACACTTTTTTTTTGTTTTTTTTCAACATTTTCGGAATTTTAGCTTTTTCATAAACATTCGATATTTGGGTATTTTCCTTAAACGAGTTGGTGTTTCTTGGGAATAGTTTGGATCGACTTTGTTAATAATTGAAATCATATTGGCATTATTCTATATAATTCGAGTTCTTGGTAAAGAAAATATTTACAGTTTGGAAATTTGTTATAATTTTGGATTTTTTTTTTGGCATTTAATCCTACACAATATTTATCAGAGTATCTTATTGTTTTGTTACATTCGTAGTATATATATTCGATGAAGGTTTTAATATTTTTGGCTTAGAAGTCCCTAGCATCGAACTAGAGAATGTTAGGAAGAAACGCAGGATTCGTCAAATACTTTCTAGTCGCCACAAAAAATGGATTGTATTATTTGTCCTCAACGCTTTTTCACACTTCCCAAAATAAATCTGTACTATTGCAGCTACAGTAAATATTCTTCATTGTGGTGTTGTGCGTCCTGCCAGTTGACTGCCGCTTTATAACGTTGTTCGCTCGTTTTTCGTATATTAGTCTCGGCGGTGTAATAGTGATCAGTGAAAAAGAAAAAACTTTTAAAAAGTTTCATATTCTTCGCTGGTTAACAATATACAATTGTGTTTACCTACATACAGTGGTTAACATACATATGTTGGTTATCACCATACATAATTATATTTTCATACTTACGCTGGTTGACACGCGTAGGTTGACTGTCAGCCACACACACGCTGTACACACATATCATTGGTTAACCAGCCGTCGCTTGCCTTGTTGAGCTTTTTTTTTTTTTTGTTAGGTGCTACGCACATTGCACTATAGGTCAAACTGGCAATTTTTGTGGCCAAAAGTCATAAAATTGAAAAAAAAAATTATTGTATTTCAACCAGAATAGCTTTCTTAACCTTCAAAAAGAATAATGGAACATTTTTTTTTGAAATTAACCCTTTATGTTATTAATGTATTAACCCTTTGGGGAGAAAAATAATTTAATTCATATATTTCATAACATTTTATTTAGAATTTTGACATTTCAAGCTTTAACGTTTTCGCTGCAGCATGCGTTTTATTATGCTAATTGATGATATTAAAGGATCTAATGTATCCAAGGCTCTAGTAAATGCATCTAAGATGTTATTCATTCAGCTGCTCTTACGAGCGTGATGTAACCTGTCGGGCTTATACAATTTATACCTAGCTTCAGCAGCATCTTTTCCAAGAACCTCTAATGGAAGTACACAATTTTCCATTATCTGCGTCGAATGAATTTGTACCTCGTGGACAGTACCTTGTACTTTGTCCATGACAACCAGAAATATTTCGTCAATATTAAATTAGCTGTTTCATAACAATAAGTTCGAAATACGTTTAAATCTAATTAAAACTGACATAATAATGAAATTAAAATAATTTTGAGGCGGAATATACGATTTAGCTTTACTCCTGTTATTTCAGATTCAAATTAATCAGTATTTCGGTAAATGGTTTAACATGCAATAATGGTAATAACTAAAAAAACCGCACAAATCCGCAAAACCACATTCGGTTATTTAGATTAAGGACGGTTTAATAAACAAATATCAATTTTTATTTCAATTGCCAAACGTTGCCCACGGATTTAATGCATTCATAACCTCGATGTTTAAAAATTTCTGCGATCAATCTAAAGTTACGGTTGCTTTTACTATACTACACATACACATATGTATGGATACATTTTATGATAAAAAAATATCGAATAATTTCTTATTAATTATTTACTTATAGTTATACTTATATTTTATTTCCACTTTAAATCTTAACAAGTAACATACCAAATTAATACATTTTTTATGGTATTTTAATAATTCACGTTTGACAGCTTGCCATGTAACGGTATAAGTGATTATGCAAAAACAAAATTCATTTTTATTTGTTTTGAAGTGTTCCTTACTCGATTGAAACTCAAAATAAGTGATAGGACAATGTCTGAAATTCGACTTTTGACCAGTAAAAATGGTCTGTTTGACCTATAGTGGCATTGGGTCGGTTGATTGTTACAAAGCTGAAATATTTGAATAAATAAATTACTGGTGTGTGTATGATTTTTGGATATATATAGTGGTGTTAATAAAAATTTATTACTTTTGGAAATTTACTGATCTTTTATAATAGAATTAATTTAAAATTTTACATATATTGATAAAATGTTTGAAATAAAATGTTGTTGAAAACTAGTATATTTTTCATGTAATTTTTTGGCTACAATTTTGATAAATTCGTTTGATTTTGGGATTTTTTCAAAAATTACTGTTTTGTTTTTTAGTACACTTTTTTTTGTTTTTTTTTCAACATTTTCGGAATTTTAGCTTTTTCATAAACATTCGATATTTGGGTATTTTCCTTAAACGAGTTGGTGTTTCTTGGGAATAGTTTGGATCGACTTTGTTAATAATTGAAATCATATTGGCATTATTCTATATAATTCGAGTTCTTGGTAAAGAAAATATTTACAGTTTGGAAATTTGTTATAATTTTGGATTTTTTTTTTTTTTGGCATTTAATCCTACACAATATTTATCAGAGTATCTTATTGTTTTGTTACATTCGTAGTATATATATTCGATGAAGGTTTTAATATTTTTGGCTTAGAAGTCCCTAGCATCGAACTAGAGAATGTTAGGAAGAAACGCAGGATTCGTCAAATACTTTCTAGTCGCCACAAAAAATGGATTGTATTATTTGTCCTCAACGCTTTTTCACACTTCCCAAAATAAATCTGTACTATTGCAGCTACAGTAAATATT